GAAATATACAAATGGAAAATAAATATGAAAAGATGCTTAACATCATTAGCCCTTAGGAAGTGCTGATTAAAACCACAGTGATATACAGGCCAGCCCCAATGGCGTAGTGGTTGTGTTTGGCGCATTCCGCTTGGGCAGCCCAGGTTCAGTTCCTGGGCATGGACCTACAGCATTCGTCAGAGGCCATGCTGTGGCAGCCCACATACAAAATAGAGGAGGACTAGCCACAGATGTTAACTCAGGGCGAATCTTCCTCAGCAAAAAAAAAAAAAAAAACCCACAATGATATATCACTACACACTTATGAGAATGGCTAAAGGTAAAAACAGTGACATCAGCAAATACTGGCAAGGATGCAGCACAACTATATTATTCATAAACTGCTGGTGAGATTGTAAAAGAATACAGCCCTCTAGAAAAGTTTTAGTTTCTTAAAAAACTAAACATGTAACTGCTATACAACTCAGGAATCCCAGTCTTTGGCGTTTATCCCAGAGAAATGAAAAGTAATGTTTGTACAAAAACCTGTACAGAAATGTGTAGAGCAACTTTATTCACAAAAGCCCCAAACTGGAAACAATCCAGATGTCCTTTAAAAAGTGGACGTTACACAAACTGTAGTCCACCCATACCATGGAAGACCACTCAGCAATAAAAAGGAACAAACTACTGACACACACAATAATTGGGATGAATCTCCACAGAATTATGCTGAGTGAAAGTAGCCAATACCAAAAAGTTACATACAGTATGGTTTCATCTATATAACCATCTGGAAATGGTAAAGTTATAGATCCGCAAACAGATCAGTGGTTATCAGGGATTGAGGAGGGGGTGAGGGCAAGAGAGAAATGGGCATGGCTATAAAAAAGCAGCATGAGGGATCCTCCTGCGGATGGAACATTCTGCATCTTGACTGCATCAGTGTCAACATCCTGGTTGTGTTATATGTCAGTTTTGCAGGTTGCACCACTAGAGGAAACAGGGTAAAGGATGCCTGGCATCTTTCTGTATTATTTCTTACAGCTGCGTGTGAACCTGCAATTATCTCAAATAAAAAGTCTATAAATTTAAAAAGCAAGCCAATTCCCTTATCTCCCTGCAGTTACCTCTCACTGCCCTGATCCCCTCCACAGGGAAAATCCTTCAAAGAGTTGACTATACTTGCCATTCTCACTTCCGTGCCTCCCTCTCCCTGTAACCTACACATTCCATGGTTTTAACCCCACCACTGAAACTGCTCATCAGGTTTACCAACATCTTGCCTGACCTCTCAGCACATGTGACCTGGTGGATCACTCTTTGCTCCGCTTCCAAGACACAGCATGCTCATGGTGTTATTCTTAGCCCCCTTAAAGGCTCCACCTTGGTCTCTTTTGCTGGATCCTTCTTTCCTACTTGGTTCTAAATGTTGGAATTCCCCCGACAGCCAAAGGCTCAGAGAAGGCTCAGTCTTGGGCCTTCGCTTCTCCACCTACACTCACTACCCAGGCAATCTCATCCTCTCCCATAATTTTAAACACCATCCATGACTTCAAACATACACCCTCACCCTGCTGTTCCCTCTGAACTCCCTCTCATGTACCTAACTGTACACTCAGCATCTCCACTTGGATGAAAACAGTTATCTAAAGCTTTACAGGGCCAAAACAAAATTCTCGTGTTCCACCACTACTCTCCGCTAAAACAATACTAAGCAAATATCTTGCTCCCAATTCTCCCCTTCTCAGCAAAGGTACCACCTTTCCCAGTGGCTCAAGTCACATCATCTCTGATTCTTCTTTCTCTCACATTGGACATTCAATCAATGAGCAAGTCCTGTCTTTGCTAATTTCAAAATATAGCTTTACACCTATATATCTGAACACTCCTTCCTCAGATGTTTATGTAACTAGTACAATGAACATATGCAAAATCATATGTATATAATCATAAACCAATATTATTTACCTCCAACTGTCCCTTTGAACATAGTCATGTGCCTGGATGAAAATTTGGATAAGTCTCATGATTTTCCTGATAACTCCCGGGTAATAGAAAGTTCTACAATCACATCACATGGAAAGCACAGTCTCAATTCAGTAGTTAAGTGCCCAATCCTAGCTGGTAATAAAACTGTTTTAACATGCTTTACACTGAGAACATCTACTCTCTTTGGCTGGCCTGCCACAGCTGACTGCTTTCAATGGGAGAAGGCCTGGCCCCTCTTTGCCCCTACGCACCTAGCATTGTTCCTCCTTCCTCAGCTTGCTGGCGGGCTGCTGACCCCCACACTAACAACGCAGGGGAGGGAGGAGCAGGGGGGCAGGCAAGTTCTTCCTTGCGTGGTGCTGTCCTGAGATAATCTCATCTCCCTGGGCCTGACAGGAATTTACTGCTGACTAGTCTCTCACAAGGCACTTCTGCGGGTTCTTCCAAGACTCTGCTAGACTTCACTTACTTTTCAAAACACAGGCAAGCCATCTCTCCTCCAGCTGGAGAACACCCTCCATGCCCACCACCACCAGTTCTTCAACAGTCCCACTCAGAACAGATGTTCTGTTGAGAGCCATCATTCCCCCTGGTCAGAATTTAAAAGTGCTCCTGGCTGCCCACTCTCCCCTGGCGACCGCTGGTCCACGAGAGACACTCAAACACTCTCCCCCTGCTCCTACATCGAGTGTGCTCTCCATCACGCTCCCTCCACCCCACTGCTGCAGGCCAGCAGCTCCTGCCCTTGAAGTCCCAGGCACCGTCGCTTGGGCCTCCACCCTCCACGAGCCTATGTCTGAGGGCACCACGAAAGCCCCTTGCACTGGGTTGGAGGTGAGGGGCAGGCTCTCCTTCCAAAGAATCCTCTTCAAAAATCCTGTCTGATCTCCAACAACTGACCCTGTCATCCCTTGGTGTGGAGGGTGGATCCAGCCAGTTCTTGGCCACCTGCTCTAGGCACCAGCCTCCAGCTCACCACCATCACTGTGTCCTGGTGCCTCGCCCAATGTGCAAGACACCGTCCCGTCACGTGTGCAGGTCTGGCGTCTAGGCCTCACCAGGCCCTGCTTTCCAACACCCTCTAACTCATCACTCCCTGCCCCTCATCCTCCTCTGTTTCCTTCACAGTGTGTGCCACTATTGGGCCCCTATTTGTTGAATACCTCCTGCTCACCATCATACCTGCAGCATCTTGGGGGTGCCCAGCACCCGGTGGGTCCCATGGAAATATGTGTTGGATGAAGCCTCTGTGGCCCTTCCTGACCAGTGCCTCCTGCTCTGGGGTCTGGTACGTGCCCACCCTTTCCCCTGAGGGGCACAGACCCACCAGTCTGAGTCACCTGGGCCACTGGCCAAGCCCCATTCGGCACTGAGGGCTGTAGAGACCTGCTCACACAGTCTCTCGTTCGGGTGGGGCTGGCAGGGATGTGCCCAGCTCAGAGCTATTTTTAGGGTCTGTCTCTGTGGAAATTGTTCGTTGATCAGCTGTAGGGAGAGAACAGCCAAGCTCTTTATCACTGCCTTTGTCCCCATTCCTCTTTCCCTCGACCAAACAGAGCCTATCATCAGACACGACTCCCACTCCAAGGAGGATCTGGTTCAACGGACCGAGGGCCAGCTTTTCCTTAACTCCTCATCTGCCATCTGCCTGCTCAACAAGCATTTACCAAGCACCTACTGGATGCCCAGCCCCGAGACCCCTCTGGGTCTCCATGAACCCCTAGAGGAGGCACAGAGCAAAGGGTCCAAGTCTGTCCCTTTCCTCCTGTCCACTGTCATGCCACCAGCACATAGCTACTAGAGGCTGGGGAGCACAGGGCTCCAGGAACTTGCAGCCCAAGCCCCACCCTCAGTGCACAAGTGACAGATTCAAAGAGAAGTACCTTGTGCTCCAGGGTCCGCCACCCACAGCACCCAAGCAGAACACACCCTCTAGCTACCCAAAACATAGCAATCCGCCAGCCATACCCTCCCAACCAAGCCTGCCAAGATTTCTGGCTCATGTGCACCTTCTTTCTCCACCTCCCAAGGCCCCTGAGCTATGAATTTAATTGTTCTCATGCCCCAGTGGCTCACAGGGCTCTAGGGGGTAGAAGGCAGCTGGGGATAGGGGGAGTCGTCACATAAAAAAAGAGACAGTGGTCTGCTCAGGAATCGATTGTAGAGTCCACCAAGAAGAGTCTCAGGTGGAGGGGAGGTGGGAGGCAGATGGGTCACTAGGCAACCCCCAAGGGCCTTTTACCCAACTTCTGTCATGGGCACCAACCCTAGACTGCCCTACACCACTGAGACAGGCTGGCATCAAGATGAGAGTGAGAAGATCAAAGAGGAGCAGAACCAGAGGAAACAGTGCCAGACTCACTGGGAAGGAAACAAACGTACCAGACACAGGCTCCCACCCTAAGCATCCCTGCATAAGCAAAGAAGCTTCCCTGAGCCTTGGCTCAAGGCAACCCTAAGCCCTACCTTGCTCCTCACTATCTTCACCAGACAGCCTAGGGACGACGAGAGGCCCAAAAGGCCTCCCTGTCCCTTACTCCATCCAGAAGACCCCAGCAGCGATGGCATAGGTAGCAGTCAACAGCAAGCTGCCTACTAGCCTTGGGGCCTAGGGCAAATTAATTAGCTTCTCCATGACTCAGTTTCATCATCTGTACAATGGGGTTCTTGAAATGATTCTATGAGTTAAGAGGGCTAAAACATTTCACACAGGGCCTAACTTGGAGCAAGCTCACAGTGAGCATCTTCTCTGGAATTTTCTTTTCTGACCTCCACCAGCTGCCCCTCAGTTTCACTTTCATAAGAGAAGCTGTCCTGGAGACTCCAGGACCTAAGTCAAGAGTTGAGTTGAGACTGATCACAGTGAACCCCTTGGTAGGGCCCTCTGAAGGAGGGGCCTGTATTTCATCCTAGGGTGGAGGAAGGAGCCTGGGGCTGGGCAGATGTTCTTAGGTCAGAAGCGCCACCTCAAATGGGACCCCAGGAGCTCCAGGGCCCACTCCCCATCCCGGGGCCAAGATGCAACTCACATTGTAGAGGATGTCCGTCCAGCCCTCCATGGTGATGCACTGGAACACCGTCAGGATGGCAAAGAGGATGTTGTCAAAGTTGGTGATGCCAAAGTTGGGCCCTGGCCAGTACTCCCGGCACTCAGTGTCACCCTCACACAGCCGGGCTGGGGCCTCCTTGCCACAGGGGAAGTCGCCCACTGGCTCTGTATCTGAGAGCAGGAGAATGAAGCACAGACCCTGAGCTCAGAAACACCAAGGTCTCCCACCCTGCTGGGATTCCTGGGCCCTGGAGACCTCGTCACAGGTGGACAGGAATCAGCCACCAACAGAAACTCTCCCTCGACTTCCCACCATCCTCTTGCACCTGCACCAGCACTCTCCTCCTGCCTACAGTCTGCCTCCACCTGAGCTCACACCTACCCTCTCAGGAACTATTGGTCAGCCTCTCCCTCTCTACTGAAACCTGCCCATCATCATTTCAACATGCTCAGGACTCATTCACCTTAAAATAAAAAACAACAAACTCCCAATCTCCAATTCTTTCTACCACTACCACCCTGACTTCTCCTTTCCCTCGCGGCCAAACTGCCACCAAGATTCTCCTGACATGAAGATCTGCCTGTCGCTCTGGAGCCAACACCAAGCTGGACTAGTCCTGGTGCTCGTCAACCTCGGCAGGTTGACCCAGAGCCCACCCAACATGTGACCAGAGGATGGCTGGGGGCCTCAAGGCCCAGGCCTCACTGACCTGGCCCTCCCAGAGTGGATATGCTCCTGCTGGCCTGCAGCCTAGGAGGCAGCCAAGGACCACACAGAGGGATGTTAAAGAAACACCAGAAAAACAGTGCTAATCTCTGCAACAAGATGCACTGTTTAAACCAGTAGCACATGTTTATCCCCTCCAGTCCCCAAATCCTAATGACAGAGTAGAAAAAAACTATTAAAAAAAAAAAGCAAATGTATAACAATACATGGGAATCCCTCCTATCAACATAGGAGAAATTTTGAGGAGTTGTAGGATAGAAAGCAAATACTCCCAGGTTTAGAAGACAAAACTGACCACAAAAGTTTACTCCTCTCCCTCCAAACATCTTAATAAACGCTCACAGAGAAGACTAGTAAGTCACTGTTTGTCTGCTTGGAAACAACGGTATTCTCTGTGAATAACGACAGTTTTATTTCCTCCTTTCCCATTCTCGACAGGGTTTTTCTTCCTTTTCTTGTCTCCTGGCACTGGCTGTGACTGCAATGATATGCGGACTAAAAGTGACCATGAGTGCCTCAATTTCATCCCTGACTTTAAAGGGAAAGCTCTCAAGACTTACAACAAAGTACAATGTTTGCAGGAAATTTTAGGGAGTTTAAGAAAATTCCTTTTTATTTCCAGTTTGATAAGAGGTTTTCTTAGTCATGAATGATTCAAATTTTAGTAAAAGTTTTTTCTGCATCTAGTGAGATGACCATAAATGTATTTATGGTCAACTCAAGCCACAAACCTTAGTGCCACCCCTAACTCTTCTCTTTCTATTACACCCCACATACAAGATCCCAGAAAACCCTGTTGGTGCAGCAAGCCTCACTGCAACATATAACAAGACCTTGACCCATTCTAACCATGTCTACCAAAACAGCCTGGCCCCAGCCAACAGCACCTCTCCTGGATTGAGATATTATTCTCCAACTCAAGCCTGATTCTGCCTTCATCTCCCCACAGCAGCCAGAATGATCAGACGATGTCACTCCTCACTCAAAGCCCCCCGCTGTCTTCCCATTTCTCTCAGAATAAGACTCAGAGCTCCGACCATCCACAAAACCCACACAGTGACCCCTTCTGTTCTTCCTGTTCCTCACTCCAGCCTTTGCACTTACTATTCCTTGTAACTGAAGCTCTCTGGTCCAGTGGCCACACAGCTGTCCCTGTCACTGCATTCAGACTGCTGTTCAATTGTCACCTGAGCAGAGAGGCCTTCCCTGGCCACTCTCTGTGAAGAGGGCCCCAAATTATTCTATTTCAAATGCCCTTTTTGTTTCCTTCCTAGAAGTTACTACAATCTGTAATGAGGTCATGTGCGTGTTAGTTTACATATTTGTGTTTATCAGGTTATCGTCCATCCCCCACTGGAACCTCCACCTCATTTGTCTGGCACCTAGAAAGCTCCTTAGCACTTGGAACAGTGCCTCTCTCCTGGAGGAATGAATCCGCGGTCCTCATCTCAGTCTGAGGGGTGCGGCTAGGCCTCACCTGTGCTGTTGGGGAAACAGGCCTTGTGGAATTTGCCCATGTAGAACTCGAGGCCGATGATGGCGAACATGAGGATGGCGAAGAAGAGAAGCAGCCCGATCTGCAGGAGCGGAACCATGGCCTTCATGATGGACTTGAGCACCACCTGCAGACCTGGGGCCAGAGCAGGCAAAGCAGGGCAGGTCAGAGAGGAGGGCGGGCAGCGCAGGGAGTGGGATGGGTGTGTAGACAGAATAGCAAGAGCCAGGCGGGACAGGACTGAGAGTCCTGGGGCAAGGTGCTCGCAGTGAGTGTTTACGGGGCCACAGGGCAAAGGCGAGCCCTCAAAGTAGGAGACAGAGCAGGGAGTGGTGGGGAAGCTTGAAGTCTTGGGGGAAGGAGGACAGAAAAGGGAAAGCCTGTGTGCGGCAGAGCTGAGAGTCCTCGGGGTGGGGGACGAGGCATAGGGTCGTGAGGGGAGGTGGACTGATCAGTGTCCCAAAGTAGGGGGAGGAGCAGGGTGTGGGGGTGCCTGAGTATGAAGTTCAGGTGGAGAGTGTGGGCTGGTGAGATCTGTGGATCTATGGAGGGCTTAGGGTAGAGGAAGAGTGGAGAGTCCTGAGAGGGAAGATGAGGGAATCCTGAGAGGGAAAAGCAGAAGATCCTAGAAGCTAAGAACAAGGAATCTTGGGAGGGAGGAGCAGGGGATCTTGGGAGGGAAGAGCAGGGGATCCTGGGAACTAAGAGCAGAGGATTAGGAGGGAAGAGGAGAAGATCCTGGGAGGGAAGAGAAGGAAATGCTGGGAACTATGAGAGGGGATCCTGGGAGGGAAGTCCAGGGGTTCCTGACAGACCCAACTCCTTAGGGAAAGTAAAGCAGAGGACCTGCCCCTAGGGAGTATTTTACCGCTGATCACAGGGCATGAGTGTTTCCGGGCCAGATTGGGCAGAGGGGGCTGAGCCCCATGACCCCGCTTCCAGCCTGGCCCTAGCTCTTGGATACAGGCCTGAGTCTTTGCCTGGCAGGGTCTCAGGGCCGAACAGGGAGCCAACCAAGGGTCTTCCCTGTAGTGGTCTCAGGGGGCACAGCCCTAGGTCCTTGCCCATCCAGGCCCTGAGGGAATCCTAAAACCAAACTTCCAGCAGACTGAAGGAAAGAGGCCAGGATGGTCACTGGCTCCCAAGGCAACCCTGTCCATCCTCCTGCCCACGCTTGGCTCCCTGAGCAGCCCATTCCAGGAGCATGTCTTAACCCGGTCTCAGCTCCCAATGGCCCTGCCAAGCCTGAGCCAAGACAGGTGGTCCTTTGCAGCCTTTGAATATTTTCTCAGGCATCATGACCCAGCACCTTGGCCAATCTCCCATCTGTCCCTTAACCCCAGAAAAAGAAGCAGAGCTGGAAATACAGCACAGGGTGTGAGGAGGAGTAAAGTTTCCATCTAGGGAAGCCAAGTCAGGGCAAAATAACAGGGTCATCGTCTGGGCTTTCATGGAGAATGGGATAGACTGGAAAAGGCTTGCTCTTCCTTTCTTCATATCTGGTTCCCTGGGGTCAAGAGCAGCAAGCTCAGAGTCACCAAAGCCAAAGAGCCCACTGGTTAGGGCTTAACTGTGGCCATGGCCATGGTGGGGGTGGGAGAGGAGGTCAGTGTTCCAAGTAGGCTTGGGCATGACTGCTTTTGCCAGACTCACTCGGAATCCCAGACACCAGCTTCAGGGGTCTTAGCACACGCACAGCCCGCAGCGTTCGCAGGTCAAAGTCAGTGCCAGCCGTGGCAAGGATCCTGGCAGGAACAAAGAGAAAGAGGGAAGTAAGGGCTTCCACACAGAGCTGATAAGAGAACACACCCCCTTATCACCCGTGTCCTACGCCCAAGAGCAGGGACACATTTGTGCCTGTGTCCCCCACAGTCCAAGCACAGGGCTTGCACAGGGCGTGGGGCTTGCCAGGCAGGGGGAGGCAGGAACTGAATTCAGATGTCCTCACGAGTAATGTTAGCAATGGCTTTTACCAGCATAACCGTCCCTCCAGTTCAAAGGCATCACCTCTAGAGGACACTTGGTCTGTGGCCCCTGGCCTGGCCTTGAGTCTGTCCCTCAATTGAGTCCAAGCCTGAAACATGTCCTCAAACCAACCCCAGTTGCACTGCAAGCTGCCTCAGGAGAGGTGGTGATGAGTGGGGGCACGAGTTCACTGGAGCTTGAGAGACTCCTGAACAGGCACTACACGTTGCCCTTCTTCACTTTATCTCAGGAGAACGTGGGAATGAGGGGCAGCGAAGGTGGAATAAAGGGTTCAGGGGACTCAGAAAAACTATAACAATCAGTTCCATTAGCATAAAAACATATTCCAATGCCTCCCATCTTAAAAACAAAAGATCTCACACCTGCCTCTGACCACAGCACACTTCGCGCCCTTCACACCAAAACTCACTGCAGGTGTCAATCCTTGGTCCCCACTGCCTAACCTTTCCATCTCTGTTCACCTTTGTCCAACTAGGTTCTCACCCTCACCCTTCCACTGAAATGCTGTGTCAAGCCTTCTTGCCAATTCCAATGGTTAAGTCTCTTTCTTTAAACGGTTTCATCTCTTGTCCTTGGGTCAACTCTCTCATTTTCCTCTTAACTCCCTGGGAGCCCCTTCTAGGTCTTGTTTGCCAGCTTTGCCTCCTCTACCAGACTCAAAAATTAGAGGCCCCAGGGCTCACTCCATATAGGATCTACCCAATAGCTCTGAATATCACGGTATGCTTATTACTCCCAAATTTACATCTTTAATTCAAATCTGGAACTCTAGGCTCATATATCCAACTGCCTTTTTGACCTTTCCACTTGGAAATCAAAAAAAGCATATCAAACATTATACAACTAGGGGCCAGCCAGGTGGCACAAGTGGTTAAGTGCGTGCGCTCCGCTGCAATGGCCCGGGGTTCGCCAGTTCGGATCCCGGGTGCTCACCGATGCACCGCTTGTCTAGGCCATGCTGTGGCGGCGTCCCATATAAAGCAGAGGAAGATGGGCACAGATGTTAGCCCAGGCCCAGTCTTCCTCAGCAAAAAGAGGAGGATTGGCAGATGTTAGCTCAGGGCCGATCTTCCTCACAAAAAAAAAAATTATACAACTAAAGAATTCGTTTTTAAATTTTAACATACTAAAACATGTACTTTTTTTTAAAGTTCCGAGTTGTTACATCATAGTGACTAAAGAGCTTTTGATTCTTACTCCCAATCTTGCTCCTTCCCCAGTATTCACCCCTCTCAGTGAACAGCGCTAGTCAACTGTTATTTAAGCCAAAACCAAGCCTTCATCCCTGACTCCTCTGTCTCTTACACTCCACATCTAATTCACCAACAATCCTACGGGCTCTACCTTTAAAATGCATCCTGGACTCTTGGTGAAGAAGGCTTTGTGCTCCTCTGCTGTAATACATGGCAGTAAGGAATAAAATTTGAGATGGAGCTGGGGTCAAAAATAAGATAAAACTCCCAGGGGATAAAAAAAGAAGAGCAACAAGAAAACCTATTCAAACCAAAATTCCACAGCACATGAGGAAGTCCAGTGCTAAGAGAAACACTCGCGTACTGGAATCAACTATTGGGAGATTAATTTTGTTCAGATGAAATCAACAAATTATGAAACAAAAACGGGCAGAAACAGGTAGGTACTTAAAAAACTAGCTAGAAGTCTTGACAATAAGCAAATAGTTACTGAAATAATACCAGCAGTAATGATGCATCATACTCTAGGTTGGAGACATGGTTTGAGAGTATTAACGGTTTAGAAAATAGTACTGGGGCTAATACTAAGGAATTTACCCACAGACATCAAAAAGACAAAGAAAAAAAATGAGAGAGAAGTTAAGTGATATGGAGGTTAGATCATATATCTAACACACATCAAATGTGAGTTCCAGAAGAAGAGAATAGAGGGAATGATGAAGCAGCAACATCTGAAGAAATAACAGATGAGAAAGTTCCAGAATTAAAGACTTGAGTTCTCAAATTCAAAGTACACTACAAGTGCCAATCAGATAAAGAAAATACATCCAACCAGAAACAGTACGAGGAAATGCAGAATATCAGGCGTAAAAAGAAAGTCTTAAAAGCTACCAGAAAGAAAAGACAAAATATCTAGAAAAGAAGAAAAATTAAAAGATGAGAAAGCTTCACCTCAGCAAAAACATATGGTAGAAGACAATTAAGCAACACCACCAACAAGCTGCAGGAAAATAACTGTCATCTTAGAACTTAATATCCAGCTAAACTGTCAATGAAGAGTGAGGGCAAAATATTTCATACATCAAGTAAGTATATTTTAATGTATATACATAAGTCTATACATGAAATAAATATTTCATGTATAAAATAAGTCATCACCCAGACCCTCAGTAAAACAACATGATAACTGAACCCAAAGGGAATGCACAGTACGTAAGAATAATGGCAGGCACTGAAAATAATTTTCAAGTAGTTAAATTTAATTAATCATTGATTGTTTTTTAATTATGATCCAATTTTTCATTTTTTGTGTGTTTATTTTCTAAATGTAAAACTAACAATCTAGGCAATAATAAAATATTTACAGAAGGGGTTGTACCAGGTGTAGTCACATCAATCATGTCATAGAGGCTAACTCACTCTTCATGGTGTTAGACCAGGGGACCGCAAACGTTTTTTGTAAAGGGCCAGTTAGTAAATAGTTAGGCTTTGTGAGCCATAAGGTCTTTGTCACAACCACTCAACTCTGCCACCGTAGCATGAAGGCAGCCATAGATAATATGTAAATGAATGGACAAGGCTGTATTCCAATAAAACTTTATCTATAAACACAGGCTGCCAGGCAGATGGGCTGTAGTTTTCTGACCTCTGCGTTAGACAAATGTATAGTTACAAACATACGTTTAAAATGTTAAGGACATCCAGGAGTGACGTCAGCACCATGGCAGAGTGAGCTTTCCCGTGAACTCTTCCCCCGACAAGATACAACAAAAGCAACAGTCACAGACCAACAACGGAATCCCAGACAGTGAAAACCTAGAGCGGAGGGATCCACACTGCCTCACATCTGAGAGCGGAATGTGCTGGGCCCCCGGAGGAAGTGGGGAGAGGTAAGGAGAACTCCTCTCCCTCCCCATCAGATCAGCGATCCCCGTCAGCGCGGCTCCCAGAGAGGGGGGAGGGGTGGCCCTCGGCGGGGAAACCGTGGCTCTTCGGACTCTCTCAGCCAGTGGGAAACTCCCACACAGAGGACTCAGAGGAGCCACAGGGCTACCATCAACATCTGAGCACCCCAGAGAGTGGATAAAGAGGGGCAAACGAGAAGCCTCCCACGTCAGGGACCCAGAGGGCAAAAGAGAGAGCTCCCCTCTCCCCACAACCCGGACTCTGCAGCTCAACCGACCAGACCAGACCTAGCGATCCGAGGCAGACCTGATCAAACGACTGGACCCGTGGATCGCAGCGGGGAAAAAACAAAACAAAACTGCGGATCGCAGCAGAAAAACCGGGGCAGAGCGCAGGGGCTTAGACTACACAGCCCTTTACCACCAGACAGTGGCGGCAGGTGGAAATTGCAACCAGAGACTTCCAGGATGAGGAAAAACAAAACCAACACAGGAACCACAATGCAAAAATATATGAAATCACCAAACCAGAAACAAAATGACAAGCACCCAGAAATCAACCCCGAAGACACAGAAATCCATAAACTAAATGACAGAGGTTTCAAAATAGCTATCATAAAAACACTCAACGAAATACGAGACAACACAGACAAACAATTCAATGAGATTAGGAGTTTCTTCACAAAAGAGATTGAAATCATAAAATGTTAAGGACATCCAGTAAATGGATAGAAATACAATCTATCTCAAAACCAGCAGTGGGTAAAAAGGTGTGCTGGGAATAAGTAATATAGAACATTTTGTCAAGCTACAAAAGTCTGTGCCTCCTAAAAAGGCAAAGAAAGGATATAAAGAGAAAACACAAAATAAGATATTAGAATTAAGTCCAAATACTTCAGTAATCACAAGAAATATAAATGAATTTTAAGTTCCTATTGAAGTGTATAGTATTAGATTGGAGTTTTTTAAAGTCCAACTGTATTCTACTTACAAAAGACACACCTGAAAAAAAATACAGAAATGTTGAAAATAAACAGATTTTTTAAAGGATATAGTAAGTAAATACTATAGAAAAGAAAATTGGTATAGAAATACTAAAGACAAAACAGAATTTAAGACAAAAAGCAACCTTAGGACTAAAGAAGGTTATATAATGCATAACACTAAAAGGAAAATTTCACCAAGAAATATGGCAATCATTAATTTTTATGCACCCAACCTTACAAACTCAAAACAGATAAAGAAAAAAAATGAAAATGCCTCCAACATAGTAGAAGATTCTAACAAAGTTCTTATCAGAATCTGAACGACTAAACACCAAAATTTAGTAAGGCTTTACAAGATTAAAATAAAATTAGCAGTCTTGATCCATTATATAGTTCTAATCTTCTATATCTTTCTTATCTATTTATCTATCTGTCAAAATCTACTCCTAACAAATAGAGAATATACATTTTTTGGAGTACACAGGAATGTCTTTGAAAATTGCCCATATCCTACATCACAAAAGAAGTCTCAACATATTTCAAAGAATTAGTAACATATATTATTGCACTTCTGCAATTAATGCGATTAAATGAGAATACAACTATAAAAACACATTTAAAAAGAAAATTCACATGTATAGAAACCCTCAAAATGGCCAACTAAATAACTCATTAA